CTCAAGATTTCAAGCCCAAGGGACACGGATAAATATTAAATAGTGAAAATAGTAACGCTACTTCATGTAGTGTTACATTTCACTTGGTGTAGCCCCTTGGAGGGTTTGTTTCGAGACTCTTCATGGTTGGGGACTCTGTGGTGGTGTAGCACCAACCAGGATCTCGGCTCTTGGGGTATGTAGAGGCTGGGAACCATCTCCATCTCGAATTCTTCTTGCTAACTTTGTACTTCCAAGACTATAGTGGCTCCTATACCTCTTGCTAGTCAAACCGCCATAGCGTCGTCAAATCTTCATGGAATTTTATGATTAAACTTGCTGCTGATAGGCGACAGCAACGCGCTCGAGATCCAATTTACAAATCACCGTTTGAGGCACAGATAAGTTTGGCATCAGTATTTGAAGCTGTCTGACGGAATTCTGGCTGTGCACAATTTCTCTCATTTTAGGCACATCTCAGCCTATTGTGGTTATAACAGCTAGCACACTTTTGTGGGGTCATCGATGAATCCGTGGGGCTGCTCGATGAAGATTTCGGCGTCCACAGGTGCGTACAGGAAGGTGTTGGCAACATCGATCTGGCGCAGTGGTAGCTTTTTCGTGGCCGCGACAGCAAGCAGAATGCACAGAGAGGTATATCAGGAGACTGGGGCGAATGTCTCCGTATAGTCGGTTCGGTATCATTGATCGAATCCTCGTACGACCCAGCGAGCTTTGAAGCGGTCGATGGAGCCATCCGCATTAGTCTTGATGCGGTACACCCATTTCCCCGATTCTTCCCGTTGGTTTTTGTTGTAGGTATCAGCTTCCACGTATTCCGGTCTTGCAGGGCCTTCAGTTCTTTTTCCATTGCTTCCTTCCTTTTTGCCTTGTGTTCCCCTCCCAGAGCCTGCGACAGAGTCGTTGGCTCTTGTGGCGACGGCGGCGGCGGGCTTTGGACGGCGACCAAGAGTCCAAGTATCTGGAGGCTCGTGAGTGTGTATCGAGGGGAATTGGTATTCTCGGGATAAGCTGCTTCGTCACCATCTTCGGGGTCACGTAAGAAGTTAGGTCCAATGCGTTCAGAGATATTTGTGTCGACCGGTTGAGGTGTAGTGTAACCCTGGTCAGCAAAGTGATAATAGGTGTTGAGGTTGTTACTGTCGAGAGGATTGTCGTCATCGAGTGGAACGAGCACGGAGCAGTAAAGGAGTGGTCCGGCAGCTTCCGAGGCTTCAGGTACGTTTTCTTCTGCTGCGTCAGCTTCGGCAGCACGGTCGGCGAAGGACCGATGGCCCTCGAAGCCGTCAGTGGGGTCGTCTGTGTTGGCGATGTTGTCCAGGTAATGTTGCAGCGTCAGTCGCTCGTAGAAAAACGCATCACGTGAGGCCATAGTAGTTTTGTCCTGAATGTCGAGAAGTTTCCATGCGTGGAAATGTTTTGTGATGCCGAGGTGTAGTCCCCACCGTGCTCGTTGAGAGAATCGTCCTGCTTGGGCTGTGTGGGGTCTGTACTGTACCATACAGCCGAAGACTCGAAGTAATTTTGTGCTGCCCTGTTTTCCCGTCCACAGCAGGTGCGGTGATGCATTGTTGGGAAGTGACGTCAAGGACAGCAAATTGTGCAGGTGGACTGCATGCGTCATCGCGTCAGGCCAAAGCGTGTTGGGCAGTCTCATCCCCAGTAGCAGCTTCCGCATCGTCGTCTGTAAAGTCCGGTTCATTCTCTCTGCGACCCCCTGCTGCTGGTGAGCGTAGGGCAGAGACACCAGGCGTCTGATGCCTCCTTCTGCTAGATAGCTCCTGAACCTCTGTGACTGGTACTCCAGTGCTCCGTCGGACTGGAAGCTCTTGAGTTGGGAGCCCGATTCTCGTTCGGCGATGGGGAGTCATGTCGTGAAGGCTTCGAATGCTTGATCTCGTGTCTTGAGGTTATAGTGCCATACATATCGTGTTGCTACGTCGATGAACGTGATGACATAGTTGTACTCGGCTTCACTGTCGTCTCGAGGCATGTTTAAGATGTCGCTGTAGACTATTTCCATCGGTGCGTATGCAGGTGCGCTTGGATTGTGGTGCGACGTGAAAGGTTGGTGGGGAAGATCAGCTTCAGGATACATGAAGCATTGTGCATGGGGTCGTCGAAGCTCCTGGCCGCTCGTTGTGAGGAGAGCGTCCTTTTCTAATACTCCGGCTTGTATGGTTTGTAGTACTGTGCTGTTTGCAGGGTGTCCGAGGCGTTGATGCCAGATGTCGTCGGGAGCGCGATGGCCGGGTGAGCGCTGGTATACATCAGCGTTGGAGAAGGACGCGACGACCGTGGCGGGACTGCGGCAGACTCCTCGGGTGACGGGCGTGAATTGATCTCCTTCGGATGGCGGTCCTCGGATTGCTGGTGATGGCATACGGCTGGGTCCTGCTGCTACTACTACAGGTGATGTTGGAGGAGGGATGGTTGCCGGTACTTGTCGTTCTTGGTGGATGACTGCTAATGCCCGTGTTCGTTCTGCTGCAGGGATGGTGTTGGAGTGCCATAAGCCATCTGGGTTAAGGGCGGGGTCAAGATCCGGCGGGTGCGTCCAGGCGGCAAACGACACGATGCCATCGCTGTCGGCAGTACCGCGGTCGGGGACGAAATCCAGCACGAAGACGCCCGACTTCAGAAGAGCGCGACTGATGAAGAGACCGCCCTTTCCGTGGTAGAGACGAAACTCGTTGTCGTTCGAATCGCATTCCAGGTGAATACCCTTCGCCATTAACTGGCTAACGCTTAGTAGATTGTATCCCAAGTTGTCGACGATGAGTACTTTGTTGAGTTGTAGTATGACGTTTGTCTCCATTGACTGAAGCTGAACGACGCCTTGTCTGTTTGTTTTCAGGTTCTTGTTCTTGGCGACGGTGATGATGACATCGCGGTTGAGGCGTCGCTCTCGTTGCATGAAGCGCCCGGAAGAACACATATGTTGGCCGAAGCAGCTGTTCAAGAACCAGGTGTTTCGTCCGGTGGGTTCGGCGTTGGCGACTGCAGCGTATGTCGGGTTGACCTGGAGACCTTGTGAGCGTGGCGGCGGCAGCTCTTCTTCGTCTGGAGCGTAAGTGGGTGGTGATCCTGGTGTGCAGTTGTCGATGTGCACCATGTAGTTAATGATGTTCGGTGCGCTTTGTGCAGGTGTAGAGGAGCGACTCGGCGGATTCTCTTGAGTGGAGGCGACTTGCGGGTTTGCCGGACGATAAACTCGAGGGCGTGTGCAATCAAATTTGGAGTGCCCCGATGTCTGACAATTGTGGCAGAACGACGGCACGATGATGAGTCCTCTGGTGTCGTGTTGGGTGTGCTTATCACGTCGGTTGTAGTTGTTCTCGTTTCTTCAATGAGTATAGAAGACTAATGGTTGCTGCTTGTTCCTTGGTTGTCTTTCTTCAAACAGGTCCATCTCCTGTTGTTGGGCATGAAGCTCGTCGCAGAGATGCATCTCGGAAATTCGTCCGTGGGCACGAAGGAGCGAGAGGGTGGTTCTCCATTCTTGTCCGAGCCCGGCGAGAACAAGTGTCACGAAACTTTCCTCAGTGATTGTACCTCCGCACCGAAGCAGGCGGTCGCGGAGTGTCTGGCAGCGACTCATATACTGCATCGCCTTTTCCCCGGTCTTCATTTGTATTGTTGTCAACTGCTGCATGAGTCTGCTTTGTGCCACGCTGTCGTTTGCTTGATAAAGACACTTCAGATGATGCCAGGCGAGCTCCGTGGAGTTTCCGTAGCTCCGATACATTCTGATGCTCTGTTGTTCTTGTGGTGACAGATTGCGTAGGAGAACTGTGTACGCCAGCAGGGACAGATAAGTAAAGATCTCTTGCTCCTTTGCAGTGCCATTGCTTGGAAATGGCAGGGACCCGTTGAAGTATCCCAAGAGGTGCGCGGCCTCCATTAGCAGCTCGAACTCAAAACTCCAGGTAAAGAAGTCGTGTCCATTGAACGATGAGGATGTCTGCAGTTTGATCACATGTGAGAACTGCGCCTGGAGACTCAATATCTCGTTTGGTGTCTGCTGTGATGCAGCTGCGGTCGGTTGAGCACGGGGCGGCATGAACTCGAAGGTCCCTGGTGAAGAATAATAAGGCGCAAAGGTAGGCGCCTGATTGTGCCGCCCGAATGATGAGTTGTCGAGACTCATTGGTGCTAATCCCATATTTCCCCCGTTGCTCTGTGTTGAATGCACAGGTGTCCTTGACTGCTGCTGTTGGTCAAAGTGCGACATGAAGCTGAAGAACCTTTCCATAAGGTTTGGGTCCACGCCTGAAGAGGGTGAAGGGGTCACCATTTCTGGTACTCTTCTTGTTGTTTCTTGAGCAGCGCCGGTCTCAGTTTGTAGTCCTCAAGTGTGTAGTCCAGAGATGCCGGGTTGAGTATCTTGGCCGCTGGGTGAGCCCGTAGAAGACTTCTTGCCCTTGTTGTCCATGACTTGTAATCGATGAAGTTTTGATGTGCTAACTGTATATAGAATGTCGTTGATGAGAGTTTGGTCTCTGACCAGCTCTCATACCATGTTGGGCTGAGAAAAGCCCTAGGATCCTTTCAGAGACTAAGTCCCACTTGTATGAAATGCTTGAGTAGTGCAGCGGAAGAGTTAAGTAGATGAACCCTTGCACTAGTATGTGAGAGCAAGTGATTGATTAAAAAGGACAAGCATACAGGAATATTTAGAGAATAGGAAATAGAGCAGTTTGTAGAATACAGTTGAAGAAACGGTTATCGAGTCGCACAGCAACTCGATCGTTGGTTCGGTTACCATCCTTGCAGTCGCAACGGTCGGTCGCAACCTCCGGTTGCAACCCTTCAAGTCCCTTCGTTCGTGTTCTTTCGTCCAACCTCCTCGTGTAACCTACGTTGACTCGTGTACTCGATACGACATTTCGAGTGTAGTGTTATACTTCAGAAACGCTTAAGTTCTAGAGGTATTTTCAACACACCATAGTGTGTTATACATGGGGGATTACGGTACCATCTTAGCATAGAACAAGTGACTAGAATGAGGTGGTACAAGGGAATATAACCTAAGGGGTTGCACTCTATATGAGCATGCACCTAGCTAACCTATAACATATACAAATTATATGTTGACATTGACTGCTTTTCCAAACCCAATGGGAATAAAAGTGAAGATAATGCTGCTACAATTTGATTGCAACACTCCGTACTTAAGCAAACGGAACTCGTAATCTACTGTACCACCTTCAAAACCCCATGGCACACCCATCCGCCCGTCCCTCCGACCCCCCCCACAGCACCCCACTCCCTCGCTCCCTCACGATCACCTGCCCCTTTCCAAACACCTCTCTCCCCTCCCCCCCCACCACCTCCAACACATGCCCCCTCCTCCGCAACTCTCCTGCCACCTCCTCCATCCCCGGCCCCTCCTCTATCGCCACGTGGCTCTCCCTCATTGGCCCGGGCCCGTGCCCAGGCGGTTCTAGGGAAGGGAGGCCGGAGAGGCAGAAGCGGGGGCGATCGAGGGCGGCCTGGGCGTGGAGCGAGAAGAGGGCGAGGTTGGTGACGACCTGCAGGTGGCCCTGGGGTTGCATGAATCCACCCATCACTCCAAACGTGCAGTGCAGCTCGCCTGCTGGGACCCCTGCATCGCCTCTGGCCTCTGCTTCTGCCCCTGCCTCGGCGGCGGCAGACGCATCGGCGGCGGCAGAGGCAGAGGCAGAGGCAGAGGCAGAGGCAGAGGCAGAGGCAGAGGCAGAGGCAGAGGCAGGGGGAGGCGAGGGGGTATCACCCCAGGTGGCAAGGCCGGGGATGATGGTGTGGTAGGGGCGCTTGCCTGGCGCCAGGCAGTTGGGGTGGTTGGGGTCCAGGGAGAAGTTGTGCCCGCGGTTCTGCAGAGGGAAGCCGCACCCCTTGGGGACGATGCCCGTGCCGAAGCCCATGTAGTTGGAGTTGATCATGCTGCACGCATTGCCCTCGCCATCCACTGCACAAAAGTACACTGTATCTGTCCCAACCTCTCCCCACCGATCCACCCCCTTCTTCTCCCCTGCTTTCTCTGCTCCTTCGGCTGATCCTAGCTCAATCCCGGGTTCCACAGCCCCAGCCCGTTTCAGATCTATTTCCCCGGCTCGTTTCTTTGCGTACTCCTTGGATAATGCCTTCCCCAGGGGTACCTGCACGTGCTCTGGGTCGGCGACACATGCCAGCGCATCGGCAAACCCCATCCGCATGGCCTCAATCATCACATGCACCTGGTCCGCCGTGCCCCATTCTCCCTCCCGACCCTCGCCCGCAGCTTCGGACCCCGTTCCCCGAGCCTTGTCCGCAGCCCCGGGAATCCCGTTCGCTGCATAGAAAGCCTCGGTGATGTTGAGTGCGATGAGGGCGGCTACGCCATGCGTGGGGGGGGGCACTTCCCAGATGGTGAGGCCTCGGAAGGTGGTGCAGATGGGGGGGGCGAAGGAGGAGGTGTGGGAGGCGAGGTCTTCCAAAGAGAGCAGGCCGCCTTGGGACTGCACTGCTGCCACTATGGCTTCGGCCACTGGGCCCGTGTAAAACCCTTGCTTGCCCTGATCTGGTGGAGGGAAGAGTGTGGGGGAGAGAACAGATGAAGACGAAGAGTGATTGGGATTGGGGAGTGGTCTCTTTCCCTTGCCAGCTGGTGGAGATGGGGGGGGGGGCGAAGGACGAGGCCTGTGAGGCGAGGTCTTGCAGGGAGAGCAGGCCGCCCTGGGGCTGCACTGACAAGAGTATGGCCTCGGCCATAGAACCCCTGCCTTCCCTTCTCTGGTGTTTAAAAAGAGAGAGATTTGGATGGATGGATGGATGGATGGATGGATGGATGGATGGATGGATGGATGGATGGATGGATGGATGGATGGATGGATGGATGGATGGATGGATGGATGGATGGATGGATGGATGGATGGATGGATGGATGGATGGATGGATGGATGGATGGATGGATGGATGGATGGATGGATGGATGGATGGATGGATGGATGGAATAGAGGGATAAAAGCAAATTGGCTCACCTCCCCGCACTCTCGTCCAAAACCGAGACTAGCATGCAAGCAGAGCGACGCACCTCCCAGCAACCTCAGCGTGCTGGCCATGCCCGGGTTCCTCATCACCTCGCCAGCTCTAGGGGCTCTCTCCCCATCCACCAATAGCTCTCCGCCATGTGGCCCTCCCTGCTTCAGCTGACACGTGGGGAGAGGGCGTATTTTGGGCACACATGAGTGCAAAGCAACCAGTAAGCAGGTCATCGAGCGTCAACAAGCAACTGTTTGTGGCGACCAAAGCCCACAGACTAAAACAGTTTGTGGCGACCAAAGCCCAAAGCCCACAGACTAAAACAGTTTGTGGCGACCAAAGCCCAAAGCCCACAGACTAAAACGGCGGAAAAGGGAAGACAGGAAGCACCTTACTAGCCCACACCCCACCTGCTCCACGCCTCTCTCCCATTGGCCGGCTGTCAATGGTGGCACCGGCCAACCTCCTTCTGCCAGCTGTATGGCGGGCTCAAGCGCCTCTTTAAGCGACACGTGGCGCGATCCAAACCGTTGGATGGCGTCGGCCCAACAGGCCGCGGCGCCGGGGACGGTGACAGTGAGGGGGTCGAAGGGGGGGAGCGGGCGGGAGGGGGAGAAGCCGAGGGACGCGAGGTGCGCGAGGGAGAGCGCGGCGGGGCAGCGGCCGTTGCCCTGAATGCTGTGGACCGCGCGCGTTGAGGCGCGGTAGAAGAGGAGGAAGGCGTCGCCGCCTGCTTGATAGGGGCGCATGGGCGCATGGGCGCATGGGCGCATGGGCGCATGGCGCACAGCATTGCGGGGAAATAAGTGGCGAGGTCGAGCAAGCAGGATCCGGCGGAGAAACAATCGAATCTCACCCACTACAGTACAGAGCTGCACGGCTGGCACCTCCGCGACAGTTACGTACTGATCGCAATCGTTCCGTGTCTATTCTAGTGATTGTGCAGATTGTATCAGCGAAAATCACTCCCACCTAGCCCCGTGCTGCACGCACCTAGCCCCGTGCTGCACGGCTCGCACACCGCAAGGGCCGCCGCCATGGCCACCGCCGCATCCGCCGCGTTGCCGCCGGCCCGCAGAATGCGGAGGCCGGCCTCGCTGGCGAGCGGCTGCGACGAGGCAACCATGCCACGCGTGGCGAGTATGGGCGAGCGGCGCGACGGCCACGCGTAGGGATCCACGGGAGGCATGGCGAGTGAAGATTCCGGTATTGATAAAATTGGCGGGAAACGCGGAGAGGTTGTGTGAGGATGTGGCAAATATCTGCGGGGCTGGATTGCGGCTGAACGCATGTCTGATATTGACAGACCTCGTACTTGGGTGCACGCAACTTTTTGTATACACCTTACATATTGCAACTAAAATGTAAGATGACGTGCATCTTCCAGTTCTGGTTGTCAACAGATTCTATCGCTTCTTTAGCATGCACGCTTTGTTTGCATGTAGAATGTGCCACTGTCACACAATTTTGGACCAGAGACGACAATGGCCTTCAAAGTTGGAACACGTTACATGAGAAGTGAACCCAAAGAAGCCAAACCAAACACCAACGTGTGAGAACAAGGTCCTCCTTCCCAATGCCAACACCCAACCCCCCACCCAATCCCCACCCCACCCCCAATCCCTCCACCCCCCCACCCGTAGAGTAGTAATACCCACCCCCCCTCTCTACCAAGGATAGAGCTTAGCTGAGCCCACACACTAGAGCCCAGCACGTCTCCCCGCCGCCCCTTTCCCTTTCTTCACGCCCGGCATCACAATCCTCTCCGCCTCCCTTGCCGTCTGCTCCTCATCCTTCCTCCTTCTCATCTCTTCCTCCACCTCCCTCTTGCGCCGCGCCTCCGCCATTTCTCTCTCCATGGCGCTCGCCTCCTCCTTGAGCTTCTGCTTCTGCTGCAGCCGGCTCTGGTGGCTGTCCTTCACGCTGAAGAACATGGGGCCCGCCTCAGCCAGCCAGCGCGGCTCAACGGCCGTGACGCACTGCATGTACTCCTTGGAAGTCAGCACCAGCTCGTGGTAGACCACGTACTCCGGGGTGGTGCCGAGCCCGTAGAGCGCGCTGGTCGGGTGGAGGTGGCACGGGGTGCCGGTGCGGCAGCTCGCGTACTCCCCAACGCCTTTCAGCTTCGCGGCGTGGTGGAAGTAGGCGGTGCAGATGGCCCGCCGCACCACGTCCCAGTCCTGCCCGGCGCTGGAGAGGGGGATCTTCTGCTGCTTCAGGATGTCCGCCAGCTGCGCCCGCACCTCGCGGGCCTTCCGGAGGCCCTTCACGTGGAGGTAGTGGTCGGAGCACCAGTCGCCGCGGTACCCGTTGGACTTCCACTGCTGGAACACGTTCAGCAGCGTCAGGTGGTCGCTCTCGGGCACGAAAAACTTCTCCCGGGCAGCGTCGGACTCCTCCTCTCGGTCTTTCGGGCGGAAGAAAACCGACGGCACCGACAGCATGGCGACCATAGTGAGCGTCTCGTTCACACACCCAAACTGGTCTCCCGAGATCAACAGCTTCGCAAGAGCAGGATCCAAAGGGAACTCCACCATTCTCCGCCCGGTCTTGGTGAGAGCCCCCGTGTTGTCCAGCGCGCCCAGGATCCACAGCTGGTACATGGAGTTGAGGATGTTCTCCTGCGGGGGGGGGTCCAGGAAGTCAAAGTCCAGCAGGTTGTCGATGTTGAGCGACTTGAGCAGCAGCACTACGTTCCCCAGGTTCGTGCGCTGGATCTCCGGCACCGGATTCGCCAGCATCTCATTCGCGTATGCGGTTTCTGTGTAGAGCCGGTAGCATGTTCCTGGGCCTGTCCTCCCGGCTCGGCCGGACCTCTGGTCTGCTGCGGCCCGGCTGATGGGGAACACCTGCAGTGCGTCCATACCCATCCGTGGGTTATACACCTTAATTTTACTGTACCCGCCGTCGATGACGTATAATATTCCGTCCACAGTCAGCGACGTCTCGGCAATGTTCGTTGCGACGATGCATTTCCGCGTGCCCTCCTCTGCTTTCTGGAAGATCTTCGCTTGGAGATCCGCGGGGAGTTGCGAGTAGATGGGAAGGATCGAGAGGGGCGGCGGGGGGCGGGCGGCGCCGGCCGCCATCTGCTCGAGGCGGTCGGCGAGGGAGAAGCACGTGGCCTCGATGTCTTCTTGTCCAGTCATGAAGATGAGGATGTCGCCAGGTGGCATGGTGACGTGGATGGCCAGCGCCTGCTTCACTGCGGCGTCTACTGGGTCCTCGCAGGGCGACTTGCTCCACATGATGCTCACGGGGAAGGTGCGACCGGGGATGAAGAAGACAGGCACGCTGGAAGGGAGGGGAATTGAAGAGGGGGGTGAGGGGAGTAGAGAGCGGGACAAGAGAGAGAGTTTGGTCACTGCTGCATCCACTGGGTATTCACAGGGCGACTTGCTTGCTCACTGGGATGGGAACCTATGTTGGAATAAACGCGTTAAGGGTCGAATTGAGCAAACGCCATGCATGCATGGCAGGGTTGTTCTGATGGATGCGCGGTGAGAGGGAAGGTGAATGGAGAAACCCCTTTGGTGCTGAACTATGCAGCTTCCTGCCAGCTCATGCAAATGCCAGCTGAGTGTTCTTACATACACCTCTAAGCAAACGGCTACCTGCGTTTGCACATACCTGCCAAAGAAGTGCGAGAATTTCTCGGCGTTCAGAGTGGCGGAGGTGACAATGAGCTTGAAGTCCCTCCTCCTGGCAGCCACGTGCTTGAGCACTCCGAACAGCACGTCCGTGTTGAGCGACCGCTCGTGAGCCTCGTCCATAATGATGGCGCTGTGGGGGGGGAGGAGATAAGAGGAGCAGAGAGGAAAAGGAGGCGACGGAATGGAGGAGGGCGGCAGTGTGCTTGAGCACTCTGAGCAGCACGTCCGTGCTGAGCGAGCGCTGGTCCGTTACGATGGCGGCACTGTGGAAGGGGGGAGAGGGAACGAGGGATGAAAGGGCGAGCGCTGCCGCGTGCTTCAAGCACCCCAACAAGCCCGCCTGTGCTGCGCGAGCGCTCATGCGCCTTGTGAAGGAAGTAGCCTGGAAGAGAAAAGATTGAATTGAGTAGGGAGCCAAGAGGCTCTTTTGTACAAAACAAGGAGCAAAGAAGAGTTGGAAGAGAAGCTTTCCTATTGGCCATAAAGTGGACAAATGGGAGAGGTTGCTTGTAGGGCAAGTAACCACAAAGTGTTGTCATCTCCGATTGGCCACAATGTGGACCAATGAGAGAGATTGCTTGGAAGGCAAGCAACCACAAAGTGTAGTGCTTGGTGATTGGTTGGTTCCTAGGACCAAGGACCAATTGGTTGGAATAGTGCCACCCAAATGTCTAGGACCAAATCCAATCTTGACCAACCCAAATGTGGGGTTGGTCAACCCAACCAACAACCCCCCAATAATTATAATGACTGCACCTCCTAATCTAGGCATGCATGTTGTATAGATATATATTTTACAACACAACCCCCCAACATGCATAAGACTAGAGGGCTTGAATCAGGAGGCGGATGAGGGAACGGGGGGAGCGAGGCCAAGAAGGCGAAGGAGGGATGAGTGGGCGGCGTGGGGGAGGGCTTTGGTGAAGATGTCGGCAAGATTAGCAGCAGAGTCAATCTTGCCCAACTGGAGGTGGCCACCCTGCACAAGCTCGTGAATGAAGTAGTGGCGAAGCTCAATGTGCTTGGAGCGCCCGTGGAACACAGCATCCTTCGTGAGGTGGATGGTGCTGGCGTTGTCGCACCAGATGGTGGGACAGCGCTGAGGGGCACCAAGCTCCTCAAGAAGGAAGGAGAGCCAGCGGGCCTCCTGCGCAGCCATGGTAGCGGCATACAGCTCTGCTTCGCAGGAGGAAAGGGCAATGGAGGAGGAGCGGGTGGAGCACTAGCTGATTAGGCCGCTGCCAAGAGAGAAGCCATAGCCCTGAGAGGAGCGGCGGTCAGGCCTAGAGTCAGCCCAGGAGGAATCAGAGTAGCCAGTGAGGAGGGGAGGGGAGGGCCGCCAAGGGTAAGGACGTAGTCCTTGGTCCCTTGAAGGTAGCGGAGGACACGCTTGGCCGCTTCCCAGTGGACGGCATCATGCTTGCCGGTACCAACGAAGCGGGCCAAAACACTGATGGGGTATGCCAGGTCAGGGCGGGTGGAGACCATGGCATACATGAGAGAGCCGATGAGCTCAACGTAGGGGTGGGAGGAGGAAGAGGGGGAGGTGAGGGGAGTGAGGTGGTGCCCAACAGGAAGAGGGGTGACCTGAGGGGTGCCTCGAGCCATGTCGAACCGCTCCAGGACCTGCTGCAGGAAGTGGCCATGGGAGAGGGAGATGGTGCGAGCAGCACGGTCACGGGTAATCTCCATGCCGAGATAGTGCTGCAGCTCTCCTAGATCCTTACACTTGAGCCGGCTGCCAAGCTCACGCTTGACGCGCTCGAGCTCGGCGGAGTCGGCACGGATGAGGATCATATCGTCGACATAGACGAGGATGTAGCAGGGGGAGGGGGAGGTGCGGAGGAAGAGGCTGGGGTCGGCGCGGGAGGTTCTGAAGCCAAGCTCGGCGAGGGTGGCAGCAAGCTTGGCATGCCACTCCCTTGGTGCCTGCTTGAGCCCATAGACCGGCCGACGCAGCTGCCAGACAGAGTCGGAAGGAAAGGGGAGGTGGAAGCCTGCACGACGCTCCATGTAAATGAGCTCGCGCAAGACCCCCTGGAGGAATGCGTTGGAGACGTCAATGGAGTGAATCTCCATGTTGAAGCGAGCGGCGAGGTCGAGGACTGCGCGAATGGTAGCGGGCTTGGCGGTGGGAGAGAAGGTGTCGAAGAAATCGACAGCGTAGCGCTAGGTGAAGCCCTTGGCGACGTAGCGGGCCTTGTAGACCGGCGGCTCGCCAGGAAGCTGCTTCACCCGAAACACCCACTTCCCTTTGACCACGTTCGTGGTAGAGGGAGGGTGGGGCACATCCACAAATGAGGAGTTGGCAATAAACGCCTCCAACTTCTTGAGGATGGCCGCGAGCCAGAGGTGAGCGTCAGGGCACGCCATGGCCTCCTTGTACGTGGCGGGGACGAAGATGGTGGGGGCGGAGGAGAAGGCGAAGACTGGTGTGCCGCTGAGGTCAGGGGAGATGGGTAGGAGGGCTGGATCATGCAGGTGGAGGTTGAGGAACTTCTCATGGGAGTCCTCGAGGAGGGAGGAGTGGAAAATGAATGGGAGGACTGCAGCTGCTGCTGCTGCTGCTGCTGCTGAGTCGGCTGCTACTGCTGCATCTGCTGCCATCGCTGCTGCTGCTGCTGCGGGTGAAGGCGAGGAAGGAGCGACGGCTGCTGCTGCTGGTGCTGCTGCGGTGGGTGGAACTGCTGCTGCAACTGTTGCTTCTGCTGTTGGGACTGCTGTACTGGAGCTCGACGACAGGGTTGGGCTAGTGTTTTGTTGTAAGACTGTCTGAAAAAGGAGGTCCATGAGAGGGGAGAGAGGAGGCAAGGTAGAGGAAGAGAGGATAACAGGAGGCGGGGCACCTAGGACTGCGTCACGCGACCTGGTGTGGGGATACCGGGTGAGGATGGAGCGGGTGGGACGTAGGGGGGGAGGGGGTCGCGGGGGAGAGGGGGGAGGAGGGGAGGGGGAGGATGGGAGTTAGCGGAGGGGGAGGAGTGGGACGGGGAGGCGGGGGAAAAAAAGGGTCAGGGTCAAATATGTCACCAGAGGAGGGGGGAGCGCTAGGGACCGAGGCGACGGGGAATGGAGGAGGTGGAGCGGGGGGGAGGAAGGGAGGGGGAGGGAGAAGTGGGGTGGGATAGTGTCGGACCAGTTGAGGGGCCTGGGAGCAGGGGCGAGAGGGTCAGTGGGGGGAGGAGTGGAATAGTAGGGTGTGGACTCGTCAAAGACTACATCCCGACTGCGGAGGAAGAGGTAGAGGTAGGTGGAAGATGTAGTTCGGGGAGGAGGGATTATGACCAAGGAAGATGCAGGGGAGGGTACGGGAGGCGAGCTTTCCCATGGTGCGGGGGCGGTCCGCAGGGTGAATGAGGACATACGCCCTGAAGCCCCACACACGGAGGGAGGAGACGTCAGGCTTGGCCGACGTCCAGAGCTTGGTGGGAGTGGTGGAGGGAAGGATAGGGTGGGGGTACAGGTTAGTAAGGAGGGTGGCGTGAAGGAGGGCATAGCCCCACAGAGAAGGGGGGCAAGAGGCATGGACGAGGAGACACCGAGCAATCTTGGTGATCTCCCGAACACGGCTCTCGGCCACACCATTCTGCTTGAGGGAGTGGGGGAGGGTGTGAGTCTGGCGAATGCCATGAAGCTCACAGTAGGAGGCTACGTGGCGATTAAGGAATTCGCCACCGCCATCAGAGTGAAGGCGGCAGACAGGGCGGCCAAAGTGGGTGCTCGCCTGCTTGAGCCAGGCGATGATCGCAGCCGGAGCGTCACCCTTCGAGCGAAGAAGGGAGACGGAAGAATATCGGCTGTGATCATCGACCAGAACAAGCATGTAGCGATGGCCCTAGCGGGAAGGGGAGGGGTTGGGGCCCCAGAGGTCCATGTGAACGAGATCAAGCGGCTGAGCAGCAGCGGAGGGGGAACTCCGATGCGGCAGCTGTTTGAGCTTGCTCTGGACACAAACGGGGCAAGGTGGGGCTGGGGAAGGAGGGAGGGGAGGGAGGGTGAGGGGAAGACCTCGAAGGAGACCTGAGGAGACGGTCGAGCGGAGGGTGGCAAAGTTGGGGTGACCAAGCCTGTGGTGGAGGAGGACGGTGGGATGGGAGAGGGATCGACAGGAGCAGGTTGGGTCAGGGGGGAGGGGGGGAATGGTTGGGTTAGAAGGAGGGAGAGGAGGGGGAGGGATGTGAGGTGGGGGGAGGGAGCGGGAGACTGCCTGGGCAGAGGGAAGACGAGGAACTCAAATGGTATATAGGCGGGAGCGAGGACAAAAGGGAATACGGGAGAGGAGGCGACCTGTGGGATGGTATAGGAGGCAGTGATTAGCGCGACCTGGGAAGACGGTGGTGATACCGGCTTGCTGCAAGGATCGCTGGGAGAGGAGGTTAGTACGGAGGGAGGGGATGTGTAAACCAGTAACGGTACCTGAGGGGAAGAGGGGACAGGGGAGGGTAGAGGTGTGGCGACAGGGAATAGAGAAGCTGGAATCGGCACCAAGGAGGGAGGTGGGGGCTGGGAGAGGGTGAAGGGTACCAGCATCACGAAGGACGGACTCGGTGGCTCCACTGTCAAGGACAAAGTCCAGCATGGTGGAGGGGGGAGGATGTGGGGGAGGAGGTGGGACGGAGTACTGAATCACATTCTCATTAATAGTAGCCGAATACATAGAAGGGGCGGGGGTTCCAGCCAGACTAACCATGCCAACAAAACCAGAGGAGGGGAAAGGAGTCACACTGCCTGTGGCTGAGGGCGCGGGAGACGCGCCCGAGAGGTGAGCTGCGGAAGCGGCGGTGCCGGCGGTCCAAGCGGGGTAGGGCTGCTGGGGAGGAGCCATAGGAGGAGGTGCAAGGGGGAGCTGCGACTGGAGGTCAAGCTGCTGCTGGAGCTGCTGGAGCTGCTGCTGCAACTGGAAGAAGAGGTGCTGCTGCCCCTGCTGCTGCTGCTGCTGGAACTGCTGCTGCTGCTGCTGCTGGAATTGCTGCTGCTGCTGTTGAAACGGCTGCGGCAGGATCTGCTGCGGAGTTTGCTGTTGCTGCTGTTGCTGAGAGACGGCCTGGTGGGCCAAGGGGGAGGAGACGGGCTGGAAAAGAGGGGAGGTACGAACCTCTTGAGGAGTGGGGCGAGGGGAGAGGGAGGACCAGCGGGGGGGGGTGCCGGCGTTGCCGCGGGCAAACCACTCATCACTGAGCGCTTTGAAGCAAGAATCAGTGGCATGAGTGGTCTGGCCGCAGCACTGACCCTGCGTGGGGCCATAGCGAGGGAGATACTAACAAGGAGGAAAGGCGAGGAGGATGGTGAGCGCGCACCGGTCAGCGACACGCCAGGCAGAAAGGTCGGTGATGTATGCGCGCTCGCGACTGACGTACTCCGCGAGCTCCGCGTGATACGTGTTGTAGGCGGCAGTGGCAGCGTCATGCTCGGCGCGGGAAGCCTCGAAGAGCAGCTGCTGGCGGACGTGGTCGGTGAGGCCGGCACGGTAGGTGCGGATGGCGGTCTCGGAGCTCTGAGGGTCGTTGACGTTAGGGGCGAAGGTTGGAGGATCGCCGGGGCTGACGGGAGCATCTCCAGGAGGAGGAGGTGCAGGGCCCGCGGGAGCATCTGGCTGGGCAGGCTGAAGACCGCGCTCCTCGAGATGGACAACGGCTTTCAGGTTGTAGCCGTTGACCGTCACCGAGGAGAGAAGCACTGTGACGGTTTGGGCATAGGAATGTCAATTGACCGCGGTGTTGTCGGGCAGCAGCTCAAGAGCGTCGACGGAGGTAAGGTCCACCAAGGAATCGGACGCCATTGAGGAGGAGGGGAAGGAAGGGGGGGGAGGAGGAAAAGGAAAGGAGGAGGAAAAGGAAAGGAAGAAGAGAAGGGGGAGGGAGGAGAAGGATAGGTGCGCGGAGCGCAGCTCTTAAGTCGCGGAAGGCGGATGCGCGACGCGCTCCAAGGAGGATGCGGCGACCTCCTACACGCCGAAATGGCGCGACGAACACGAGCACGCGACGGCGGAATCGACGACGAGCGGGCGCACGCGACGGAGAAATCGACCGACGGCCGTGCGCGCGCGGCGGCACAAAGACGATGGGCGCGGAGAGTACGAGCGCGACGGGAGGATTTCTCGACGGGCGTGCGCGGGGGCCGTGACGAACGGGACCGCGGAAAGCGCGACGGAGAGGGCGCGACGACGGGCCGCGCGACGGAGGAGCACACCAATGGGCGCAGTAGGAGGATGCGACAGCTGAAGCGCGTCGTAAGGAGCAACGGGAGGCGCACGTCGGAAGGGTGAGCGGCCGCGGCGAAAGGCGTGCGACGGGAGGAAGAGCGGGCGCGACGGAATAGCGCGGCGGGAGAGGGCGCGCGGGGGGCGCGGGAAGTAGCCTAAGGAAGGGCTAGGCTTCGAAGACGAGGAGGGACGGCATAGGGCCGTGCTAGTTAGGATTGACTAGAGGTGGCGTGAGCCATTGTGGCTTTGATACCATGAAGGAAGTAGCTTGGAAGAGAAAAGATTGAATTGAGTAGGGAGCTAAGAGGCTCTTTTGTACAAAACAAGGAGCAAAGAAGAGTTGGAAGAGAAGCTCTCCTATTGGCCATAAAGTGGACCAATGGGAGAGGTTGCTTGTAGGGCAAGTAACCACAAAGTGTTGTGCTCTCCGATTGGCCACAATGTGGACCAATGAGAAAGATTGCTTGGAAGGAAAGCAACCACAAAGTGTGGTGCTTGGTGATTGGTTGGTTCCTAGGACCAAGGACCATTTGGTTGGAATAGTGCCAACCAAATGTCTAGGACCAAATCCAATCTTGACCAACCCAAATATGGGGTTGGTCAACCCAACCAATAACCCCCCAATAATTATAATGACTACACCTCCTAATCTGGGCATGCATGTTGTATAGATATATATTTTACAACACCTTGCCCATCATGCAAGTGCTGTTGGGGGGGAGGGAATAGGGAGGGAGGGGGATAACCATGTAACCACTCGAGCACCCCGCCCAAAGTGACGGCAACGGGGAGGGGACGGAGGGGAGGGGACGAAACGAGAGAAGCACAAGGGAGTGGGGCACGATGAGAGGGAGCGGGCTTGCAGGCTTCTGGCTTGAGATGGAATATGACAGCATTTGGAAGGAAAATGCCACCCAACCAATACTCGATGCAAGGAAGGAGCAACCGAGCATGAGGCAGCAGAGCGAGGCATAGAGCAGGGCATGGAACCCACCTGTATTGGTCGAGGTCCGGCTCTCTGAGTGACTCCCTCAGCAACACTCCCTCCGTCATGTACTGTCGGGGGGGGGAGAGACAGAGACGCGAGAGCGGAGGGGTGAAAGCGAGAGGGGAGGAGGGAATAAGAAAGAGGGACAGGGAGGAGGGGATGCGAAACAGAGACCTGGAACTCCAAGGGACTCTCACAGCAACACTCCCTTCATCACTTAATGTGAGGGGGGGGGAGAGACGAGGAAGGAGGGGGGATATAGGGCAGGTCTGGGGGATAGAGGGCAGGTCTGGGGGATAGAGGGCAGGTCTGGGGGATAGAGGGCAGGTCTGAGTGCAACTCTCTCAGCAACATTCCCTCGGCCATGTACTGTTTTGGGAGAGAGGGAGAAGGGGTGGACGACGAAGGGGAGAAGAGAGTGAAGCAGGGGGGGATGAGGGAAGGAGGTGGAAGCGGATGGTAGGGAGAAGAGGCAGAGAGAGAGACAGACAGAGGCCACTTGTGAATGAAAGGGCTGCTGTGAGAAACAAGGCACACTGCATAGCGAGTGGAATGAACTGTGCATTTACACAGGGAAGGGAAACAAAATTGTGGGAGGGGAGCACCATGTAGCGCCCAGCACCGACTATGCATGCCTGGTAACCTAGAAAGCTACCGCACAGAGCCACATAGCACCACACAGCATAGCTCAGCGCCTCCCAGCAGCACGCAGCGCCTCAGACACGCACAAAAATCTCATCTCATGGGCCGCTCAGCACCACACAGCATCTCACAACGAGAGTGTGTGTTTAGTCCGTGCTGGCGCCTCATCATCGAGAAATATGTGGTCATCACGGGCAGCAGCATGACAAGGGCAGCGTGTGTTCAGCCCGTGCTTTGTCTTCTTCCCCCTCCCCCCTCTCCCCCCCCCCCCCCCCCCCCCCCCCGCTCAAGCCAGCCGAGCCGGCTCAGCTCGGCTCGAGGGGCAGAGTGGCAGAGAGCGGTTGGGGGGTGGGTGGGGGTAGGATCCTATGCGCCCATGAGTGCCACCCTGACCCTTCTGGGTTCCTGCTGCACAGAAGAAGTGCACCGACTCTGCTGGGACGGAGAATCCTCGTCCTTACCTTACCGACCTGTTTTACACTACATTGCGCTTTGATGCTGTGGGAGGGAGTAATCTAGGGTTGGTAGGGGGTGTTGGCGGGGTTGGGAAAACGCAAGTCCGAATGGGACTTCCGTTGTGTCAAACTGGGAATTTGCCCCCCACCACCACCCCTGGTCTCGAGTTGCGAGCCGCCCTGGCTGGGACTCGAGCCAGGGACGAGCCGGCTCAACTCCGGCTCGTCGAAGATGTCCGCGACAAGCCAAGTCGAGCCGAGCCGGCTTGGCTCGCCGGATGTGGCTTGGCTTGTGCCCAGGCCTATCCGATAATGACAAGAGCACTCCTACTCCTGGCGTCACTTTCAAACAACGAGGCTCAATTAGAGAGTTACTGCGGCTGCTGCATAACCACCTGAGTTAGTCAGCCTGCTCACAGGGGTTTGTTCGTTGCAGCAGAATCACCGCAATAGTGCAGAGCAGAATGAGCGGCCTAAGTGCTCAATCCACTAGTCCACATGCCACGCAGTACGACGTGCTGGCACGCAACCCTCTCAACTAACCTCCACGAGGGTGTTGCTGGTGGCGGTAATGTCTTGGAACTAAATGGACCCCAGCGTGCACTCCTTCTCGTCCCCTCCCTCCGCACTTGCCCGCCACCGTTGCCGCCATGCTCTTCCCCACACTCAATGGATCACCTCTCCCTCTCGCCTCACCTTCCCGAGGGTGTTGCTGCTGGTGACATCCTCGAAACGAATGGCGTAGCCCACAGTGGACCCCAGCTCGCACTCCCTCCCATCTCATCTCCTCTCCATCCCATCCCATCGCATCTCCCTCTCCCCCTCCCCCTCCCCCTCCCCCTCCCCCTCCCCCTCCCCCTCCCCCTCCCCCTCCCCCTCCCTCTCCTCTCCTCTCCTCTCCTCTCCCTCTCCTCTCCTCTCCTCTCCTCGCGTCGTGGCGCGGCGCGTCGCTTCACGTCGCGTCGCGTCGCGTCGCGTCGCATCGCATCCCATCCCATCCCATCCCATCCCATCCCATCCCATCCCATCCCATCCCATCCCATCCCATCCCATCCCATCCCATCTCATCTCATCTCATCTCATCTCATCTCATCTCATCCCATCTCATCCCATCCCATCTCATCTTTATCCCATCTCATCTCATCTCATCTCATCTCATCTCATCTCATCCCATCCCATCCCATCCCATCCCATCTCATCTCATCTCATCTCATCTCATCTCATCTCATCTCATCTCATCTCACCCTCTTCCACCCCACCTCACCCCACCCCACCTCACCCCCACCCCACCCCATCCCATCCCATCCCATCCCTGCGTGCCCACAACCACTGAACCACCTCTCCCTTGAACCCACCTTGACAAGCGTGTTGCTGCTCGTGACGTCCTCAAACCGGATGGCGTAGCCCACGGTGGACCCCAGCTCGCACTCCATCTCGTCCGCCACCCGCTTCGCCACGCTCATGGCCGCCACGCGCCGTGGCTGCGTGCAGCCCACCATGCCGTACGTCGTGTACCCGGCCTCGTGCAGGTACTGTGGAGGGGTTTGGGGTTTGCAGGTTTGGTTCCGGGTTCAAACACAAATGAGCAAGTTTATGATGGGTATAAGTGCACCCCACCATGCCGTACGTGGTGTTCTCATCCTCGTGTAGGTATTGTTGAGGAGTTTAGGATTTCGGATTGTGGAGTAGGCTACAGTTGAGGCTTTAAACAGATTGTTCGGGGGGACGAACGATGAGCATAGTGAATAAAGTGGTGCCTATGCGATGGCATACTCAAAGCATACGATGAAATCGAGAACTATAAGAAGCAATTTATATTGAGAAACAAGAGTATTCATCTCTCACGCCCTCCACGGTATCGATTCAACCCTGTGCAATCAATGGTGAAGCTAAGCCCACCGACAACAAACGTGTGCCATTGCACTTGTTCCGACGCATGTCGGGTTGTCTCACCTGTGTCATCTGTGTTGTTTTGCCAGAGCCCGTCTCCCCCACCACCACCACAATCTGGTTCTCTCGAATCACCTGACCAGGGGGGGAGAGGCAAAGAGACACGACATTGGTATGAGACAAGACAAGGGAATGATTGGAATGCGTGGGATGGCAGGATAAAAGAAGAATGTCTCGCCCAATGCCACCACCATCTGGTTCCCTGGAATCAGCTGTCCTTGGTAATGTGAGTCCTTGGTAATGGGGTAATGTGAGTCCTTGTGAGTCCTTGGTAATGGGGTAATGTGAGTCCTTGTGAGTCCTTGGTAATGGGGTAATGTGAGTCCTTGTGAGTCCTTGGTAATGGGGTAATGTGAGTCCTTGTGAGTCCTTGGTAATGGGGTAATGTGAGTCCTTGTGAGTCCTTGGTAATGGGGTAATGTGAGTCCTTGTGAGTCCTTGGTAATGGGGTAATGTGAGTCCTTGTGAGTCCTTGGTAATGGGGTAATATGAGTCCTTGTGAGTCCTTGGTAATGGGGTAATATGAGTCCTTGTGAGTCCTTGGTAATGGGGTAATGAGTCGACTGACACGATGGCATGAGAGGGAGGGCAGAAGACATCCAGGCATGAGATGGCACAATGGCCTGAGTTGGCACTGGCATTAGATGGCATCGCACCATGACCATAGCACAGGGTGCTCTATAGCATGACATGAGAATGCCCCGCGACAGCTCGTCCGTGAAAGAGTAGATGGGCAGGTGCATGTGCTGCTCCGCAATAAACTTGGGGTTGCGGTCAGCCCCTACAAACAAGAGTAGACATACCTGCTGTGAGGCCTCACAACACTGTCCTGCAGCAGCTCGCCCCTACCTGCAGCAGCCCGCCCCTACCTGCAGCAGCTCGCCCCTACCTGCAGCAGCTCGCCCCTGCCTGCAGCAGCTCGCCCCTACCTGCAGCAGCTCGCCCCTACCTGCAGCAGCTCGCCCCTACCTGCAGCAGCTCGCCCCTACCTGCACCAGCTCGCCCCTACCTGCAGTAGCTCAGCCCTACCTGCAGCAGCTCGTCGCGCACGGAGTAGATGGGAAGGTACATGCGCTGCTCCGCTATCGACTTGGTCTTGGCGAAGTCGCTGGCCGCCCCGCCCGTGCCCTTCATGTGGTCCGCGAACTTCACATTGTCCTTGTAGTCCACCTCGCCCTCGTCGTTGACTTTTGACGTGTCCGCATCCACCTGTCAGCATGAGGGCTTGGGTTTAAGGTGAGGGCTGAAGGCACTGCCTGGCCGCCCCTCCCGTGCCCTTCATGTGGTCCGCGAACTTCACATTGCCCTTGTAGTCCACTTCAGAAAGGTGGATGCGGACACGTCAAAGGTGAACGAGGAGGGATTAGGGTTAGGAAGGTTGCAAGCTGCAAGCCTCACAATCTCCACCTCACGCTCGTTTGTTACCTTAGACACGTGTGGGCACAGACCATGCTCCAGACCCAAGGCACGATGCGCCATGCAGAGTATTCAGCTCACACCACCGCATGCGAACAAGGGAAAAAAACGTGTGATACACACGAGTGTAGCACTAGCACACGCCACGCCATTCCACACCACACCAAACCACAATAAACCACACCACACCACAATAAACCACACCACACCACAATAAACCACACCACACCACAATAAACCACACCACACCACACCACACCACAAGGCCAAGGAGCTCCTTTGAAGCAGCAGGACCAAGGAGTAACAGCAATACAGCAGCAGCAGGAATTGAGCAAAAACAGCGATACAGCAGTGATTGGGCTTTTAACAGAAGCTCTCTCCCTTCTCCTTCCACCCCACCACCCCCTCCCCTCGCATGCTTACATCAGCCGCAGATTTCTTCACGCCCAAAATGTTCCCCAGCTTGCTCCCGGTCAGCTCCCAGAACTTCTGCCTGCTCTTGTTCTGCTGCTGCTTCTCCCGAATCTGCGGGTGGGCAAAAGGGGGATGCAGGAAGGGAGAACGAGAAAGAAGAGAGCACGATAACAGCCTCTCCATAGGGAGCATAGGTTGGCGTATCCCGCTCCACCACATCCATCGGACAGCCTGGGGCCAACAGACACAAAATTCAACGAGCCTGTTGCGCCCACCCCTCAAGAGACGTATGGTAACACGCCCAGCCCAACGGAGCATTGGATATTCGCATGAAGATTCGTTTGCTCAACCAGCAGATGGTCTATGGTCCGCTTGAGCGCCTGGCATACCTCATGAGCGGCTGGCATACCTCTCTGACACGCGAAAGCCCTTCCTTGCATTGCAATGCCCCAGGTGGGATCTATTAGGAACGTCGCGGGCTAAATACGACTAGCACACCTCATTAACGCTCACCCCATGCAGAATCATAGCTCTCTGACGACTGCAGAGCCCTTCCTAGCGAAAATCGCCATGTCAGTGGTGGGGTTCTTGAGCGGCATCACTGGGTCCTTGTCAATAAGACCAGCACGAAAGCTAGCACCCACATACCTCTCTGACAAGCGCTGAACCCTTCCTGGCGATGATGGCCATGTCGGACGTGGGGTCCTTGAGCGGCATCACCGGCTCCTGCTGCTTCGTGAACACTATGCGCCCGTCCAGGAAGGGGGGCTTCGTATCTGGAGGGTCCAGAGGGTTCGGAAAGGGGAGAAGAGGAGACAGATGAGCGTGATGACACTTGGTGGCCGACCTCTCTCCCCCCCTCCCAACCCTGCCTGAACGCATGAGCTGCCGGCCTCTTCCCCCCTTTTGCAAGCCTGCATGTATCTCCCACCTCTTCACTCAATGTGCCTGCCTGATACCCGCCCTCCGTCGCACCACGGCCGAGCACATGAACTGCCGGTCCTCCCAGGTGGCCGGGTCACTGTTGCAGCCCCACGTATCCCCCACCAGACCAACCTACCAACTCACCATGTACCAGCAGCAAGACTCGGTTCTCGTCCTCATCATCAATATCCGTGGACAGCTCTGCAGCGTTGCGCACCACGCCCGACCGCATGAGCTGGCGGTCCTCCCAGGTGGCCTGGTCGGCAGACAGCTGCGTCAACCTCTTGCTGGCGGCCAACGACATGGCGGACCCGTCGGACCGCACCATGCGCTTCTGCAGCTGCGCCGCCTGCTTCTGCTTAGCCTGCTTCTTCTCCTCCAACGCCTGCTCGTCCCCAAACCCCCCAAAGGGGTTGGAACCCTCGCCCGAGTCAAACACACTGCCTGCCTCCTCAGAATCATACCTGGGGAGGAGGGGGGGAGGGGAGAGGGCATGGATGGACCCTTGGTCTGTGGGGAAACCCTGACACCCCTCACACTACTCGCCACTAGCGGTTATGCCTGCCACTCAGCCTCCTCCACCTCTCTCTGCATGCCCCCATCCTCCTCCCCCCTCCGTTTCAGCCGTGCTCTCACTGTTGCCTCCCTCCTGGGCCCCATACCCTGACTAATCCTGACCAAACCCCGGCCTCAAAACCCTGACCCCCACACCCTGACCACCCAAAACCCCGACCCCGAACCCTGACCCCCCAAACCCTAACCCCCAAACCCTGACCCCCCAAAACCCCAAAACCCTAGCAGCCCTGGACTCACCAGGAGCGGTCGGCCTGCCGCTCAGCCTCCTCCATCTCCCGCCGCATGCCCTCATCCTCTGCTCCCCCCAGCACCTCCCCCTCCCCCGCCCCTCTCTCCGCACGGTAGTCTGTGTCCCACTCGCTCTCCAGCTGGGATGGCGCCTGGGGGCGTGCAAGGTGAGGAGAGGGGCAAAGGGGGGGCAGAGGAAAGGGCAGGGAGCACAAGGTGAGCGACAGAAGCAGAGGACTAAGCCCGTCCCCCTCTTTGGGCGGTAGTAGTCTGTGTCCCACTCGCTCTGCTGCTGGGATGGCGCCTGGGGCGGCGCAAGGGGAGAAGGGGAAAGGGATGGGGGGGTGGTGGGGGGTGGGGGAAAAGGAACAGTGGAACAAAGAAATTGAAGGGGGCTACAAGACAGGGGAGCAGGACGACTATTGAGAGCTCTCAAAAACCAAGAGCAGCAGGATATGAGCCTAGGATCACGACGGGCAGCAGGATATGAGCGGAGGATGACGACGGGCAGCAGGATATGAGCGGAGGATGACAACGGGCAGCAGGATATGAGTGGAGGATGACGACGGGCAGCAGGATATGAGCGGAGGATGACGACGGGCAGCAGGAGGGAGGGGAAGAGAGGAACCATGAGACGGAGAAGAGAAGGCAGGCAGTCTGCCGGGTGGCAAGCTGTGGAGTGGAGTGGATTCAAAAGGCAACAGGGCGGGGCGGGGCGGGGCGGGGCATGCCAAGAAGTGGAAAGGGCAGACAAGAGAGGAGTGGCAGAGGGACAACAACAGTAAACGGACGTTCCAAGCCCACCCCTTGCACGTCACAATCCGATGATACCTATTCCCACCTCATCACTAACACCCCCTTGCAAAATTCCTGACTGTTCCACCTGGCATCCCCCCGCTGTGGCTTGGTGAATCGGCGCATGCTGGCAACACCTTCCGAAGCTGAGGAGTCGGCTCGGAGCCAAAGCTTCCATCTCTCCCCCGCCACAACTTCTTCTCTACTCCTTGACTGTCTCACCTGGCCTCCCACTGTGCTTCGGCGAGTGCTAGCAACGCCCTCCGAAGCTGCAGAGTCGGCTCGGAACCGAAGCTTGTGCGACCGGCGAGCCCGGCCCCCATCTGCTTGCACGCTTCCCTCCCTCTCCTCCCCGTCCCGACCCTGCGAGACAGGTGTGGCCGAGCCTGCCCTCACAGGCACGGGGGACGGGGACGGGAGATCCCACACAGACCCTGGCAGGTGGGGAAGTCAGGGGTGGTGAACAGGCAGGGGAGGAAGGGAAGGGGGGACGGGGGACGAGGAAAAGGGTGGGGGGTGGGGGACGGGAGGGCGGTGAAGTTTAGAGTAGACACCACAGGGTTCGAACCCTAGCACTCAAGGGGCAGGGCTGGAAGACTCAAGCTACCAACGTGTGCAAAAGACACAGAACAATGGTCGATGCTGAATTTAGAGACTGCAAACGTGATTGTCCAGACCAGACGGACAACTAAAGAGACTATGGAAGTGACAGAGGAAGAAACGTCCGGCGAAACAGCGAGAGAGAGAGATCCAAGCACACTCACCACCAACAGAAGGCGTGCTGCCGCCTCCCCCGCCATCCCAGGGCGACAGCAGGCGCGAGTCAGACGGCGAGGGCGGCACAAAGGAGGGCTCGCGGCGGTACGGCGCGGGGGAGGGGGCGGGGGAGGGGGTCCAGCGGGGGGAGGGGGAGGGCGAAGGCATGTCCCACTTGGACCCCCTGCGCGGCGTGCTGCCCCTGTCCCTGTTGTCTCTGCCTGGCGTGCCGTCTGAATCCCTGCGAGGAGTATATGTGTCCCTGTCCCTGCGAGGGGTGGCGTCTTCGTCCCAGCGAGACCTGGAGCCTGGAGAGGTGGGCGGACGGAGCGGGCAGTGAAAAGGGGTGAGGGGGAGAGGGGTGAGATTTTTGGGCACGTACGTACTGACAGTAGGCTGTAGCTTGCTTGCGTGCACAAGCAGATTCCACACGCGTTTGCAAGGTCAACCCAGGTCGCGCTCCTAAGGAAAGCCAGCCAGCTCACCATGTCTAGGCGATCTCCTGTCGTAGTCCCTGCCTCTGTCCCTGCGTCCATCGGAATCGCGATCCCTGCCCCTTCTCTCCTCATCCCTCTCTCTCCCCCTCTCCCTGTCGCCATCCCCATCTCTCCCCCCTCTGCTGTCGTCCCTCGAGTCCCACCTGCTGCCCCTTCTCCCTCTATCTCCCCCCCCCTCCCCTCTGCCCCCTGACCCTGCAGCCGTGAATGATGCGGGAAGCGGCAACAAGTGGGAGGAAGAGCAGGGACGAACGGAGCAGGGAGGAGCGGAGCACAGGGGCAGGGAGGAAGACGATGGATTGGGGGGCTTTCAGGTGCAGAAAACAAAACGATGGAGGCGGTGACAGCATTCAATGCAGGAAGAAAAAGAGCAAGGTGCATGTGACGCAGGGTTACCAGGCTACCAGCATTCTCCCATATGCCTATGCTACCATACGAAACATCTAAATTGAATGGAAAGCTAAAAGCTCAGAGTTTCTCCTCCCCATGACACACCTTCTCCGCTGGTAATCAAACTGGCAGAACCTGCCCTGTCAGCAGCACCGTTTGCCACATCTGCAGAATCCACTCGGGTTCTCTTAGCGACGCGGCTTGCCTCATCTCCCTGCTGGAAGGAGGGAGGGGAGGAGGAAGCAAGGGGGTTTCTATGATATTGTAAGGCACGGTTCGATAGTTGAACCAAAGCTTGCTCGCTCGACAGTGCACGTACTCACATATGGAGGCACATGCCTCCACGTGCCTGGACGTACCTTGATTGCTCCAACGGCTGTGCCTCCTCGTGGGTCTCGGTCACAAGGTGAGTCCTGCACCCCCGGTGAGGCACCCGATAGGTCTGGAGGGGGGCAAAACACGTGCGTGGGTGGAAGGCATGGGGGTGAGAAATGGAACAGTCAGGTGGGCGCATTAGGCCTGGTCAGATGACATTAGGGCTGCTGGCCAGGCGGGCATTAGGGTTAGCCAGACATGGTGGTGCCTCACGTGTGACTGTCGACACGTGGGTGGGGGTGTCATCGCTCCTCGCCACGCGATACCGCCGCCTCTCCTTGCCACCTCCTCCACCGCTCCTTTCCCCCCCACTCCCTTCCCCCCCTCCTCCTCCCTCTCCTCTCCCCCCTCCCCCATCTTCCCCTTCAGCGACCCACTTTGCGCCTCCCCCTTCCTTCCCCTCAGCCCCCCCCCGGTCCCCTTCGTCGTCCCCCTCTTCTGCGAATCTGGCCGCTGCTACAGTAACCGGCTGACGTGGCTTTTCAGGGATTCCCGCAGCTGCGCGCTTGGCTCGGGCGAGCGCGTCCAGGCCTGGGGATTGCCGAGGGGGGAGTTAAGAGAGGAGAGACGGATTATACAGAGATGTCGAAAGAGGCTGCCGAGTACACACGCCGATGAATTACGAAACAACTACTACTGCGCCCATTACGCGGCGAACCCACCACGCTCCAACCGGAAGCCCTCGTGAATCGTGATTGCCCGAAGGCCACACGGCCACTCACCCAGAACCGACTTTCGCTCGGCCGGCGCCTTGAAGAGCAAGCGCTCTCCTCCCAGCCCCCTGCCGCCTGCAAACCCCCTTCTGCACCCCGCCTTGCAGCCCGCCCCTTGCAACCCTCCCACGGACTTATCCCCTTCACCGGTGCCGGCAGAGCCATTACGACCGCCTTCCGACCCTTCCAGCCGATCCACGTGGCCGGAAAACCCTGATATCATGGCCAAAATTCTCGCGTTTCCAAAGAGTATCTCGACAGAATGGTTCCTCCGCGACGCGACGCCCAACAGACCGTGTCGCTGACAGCTATCAGTAAAGCGTGAAAACGTCACCTGGAAGTGAAGAAAGAGAAGCAATTCCAATGGAAGTCTACTCCTGTAGAAGGAAACCTAAATGATTGAGAATACACTGCGCGAAACCGAGACTCGAAGCGATCCTAAGGGCGTGCCATAAGCGTTTGCTTTAGATAACCTTTTTCAAATAACCCGCACCTTACTCAACCGTAGTGAACGCTATGTCACGCCATAAGGACGCGCTACATTGGGTCCCCTTCTCTGATCATTTTCCAATCGTGGCACTGTAGAAACCTGGTACGGCGGATATTCTTAGAACTGAAGAATTGATGAATAGAGAGAGAGTACAAGGGTATATACCTAAGAGTATTGTACCCTCTAAGAGGCGACCCTATACAGTCTATACAAACATGAGTTATGCTTATGTTTGACACACCCCCTAGACTGCATAGGGGAATGACCTGAACAAGCAGCTCAGGGCGGCACTACTAGTCCAACCTCTGAGACAAGGCTCTAAAAGACCAGACAGACGGAGTTGAGACAAGGCAAGAACAAGACCAGGGCGGCACTACTAGTCCAGCCACTGGGAGAGGACACAAGTCCAGTCTGAGTATGCATATAAAGGACAGTACAAAGTCAAGGCCCTAGCAAGTGAGAAGCTACAGGAACTAGACCAAGCTGTACACAGTGCCGCTGATGATCTTTAGGCGCAAGCGCCTTCGTAAAGATATCAGCTGTGTTGGCACCTGAGGCCAAGTGTACTACGCGAGCCCGGCGTCGCTGCTGTAGCTCGCGCAGGAGGAAGTATCGCAGCTGAATATGCTTCGCTCTGCCCTCGAGTCGAGGCTCCTGACACAGGAGGATCATGGCCCTGTTGTCAGCGAACAGGACCGGGGCAGAGCTAGGCCGCTCACCTAAGTCAGTGAGCAAGAAGGTCAGCCAGCGGAGCTCCTGTGCCGCCATGGCACCAGCGTAGATCTCAGCCTCACAGCTGGACTGCGCAACAGACGAGGAGCGGGTAGCTCTCCATGAGACGGCACCTGAACCAAGGCTGAAGCAGTAGCCCTGGGTAGACCTGAGTGTCTCGGCATCGTCTGCCCACGAAGCGTCTGTGTGTCCAGTAAAGACCACTGGCCTGCGTCCTCCTAGCACTAACCCCATGCCCGATGTACTAGCAAGATAACGCAAAACCCTCTTAGCGGCAGACCAGTGTTGCGGTCGGTGTCTGCCTGTGGCCACAAAGCGAGCCAGGATGCTGAGAGGGTACGCGAGATCTGGGCGAGTGCAAGTCATCAGGTACATGAGGCAACCCACCAGCTCTGCGTAGGGGCCGCTGGGCTCTACCGACTCCTCAGACACAGGAGCGGAGAGTCTGTGGTCTACAGGCAGAGGGGTGGGCTGTGTAGAGGAGAACTGAAGGCTGAACCTCTGAAGGACCTGGCGCACCAAGTGTGACTGAGTCAGGGTGATGGTGCGCGGTGCTTTGTCCCTGGAGATCTGCAAGCCAAGGTAACGGCGCAGTTCTCCAAGGTCAGTGCACGTGTGTCTCTTCAGCAACTCTGCCTTCACGGAGGCTAGTGCGTCCCTGTCTGCTGTGGCAAAGACCAGGTCGTCGACGTAAACAAGGATGTAGAACGGAGTCTGGCCAGCACGAACGAAGAGTGAGGGGTCTGCGGAAGACGGAAAGAACTGCAGGTCAGCAAGCGTAGCACGGAGAGTGTCGTGCCACTCACGGGGAGCCTGGCGCAGGCCGTAGACGGGGCACCGCACGAGCCACTGGGTCCCAGGAGGGAAGGTGTCAGTAAAGCCCTGAGGGCGACGCAAGTACACCTGCTCGTATAGGCTGCCCTGAAGGAAGGCAGTGGAGAAGTCGAGGGAGTGAAGCTCGTAGTCACGCTGAGCAGCTAGGTGTAACAGAACCCGAAGAGTAGTCATCTTCGGGGTCGGAGCGAAGGTCTGGAAGAAGTCCACCCCCTCACGCTGACTGAAGCCTCTAGCCACGTAGCGCGCCTTGAACACAGGCGGCTCTCCAGGAGGGCGCTTCACGTTGAAGAGCCAGCGGCCATCGACTACGTTCACCCCAGGCGGGGGAACTGCGTCGACGAAGGTGCCGGTGGATCTCCAAGATGCCATCTCCTGCTCCATGGCAGCTATCCACTGAGAGGCCCAAGGACCCGAGGTCGCCTCAGCGTAAGTGCGAGGGGTCGGGATGTCGAAAGCGTCTGGGTCACCCTCAGGGACTAGCAGCATGGAACAGAGATGGGGAGCAGCCTCGGACAGGAAAGCAAGCTCGAACTGGCGGTCCTCCAGGACGTCACTGCCAAGGGCAGGAGCACCCCCGACAGACCGAGGACAGGCAAGGTCAGAGACCAGAGCGTTGGCGTAGTCAAGGCGGCGGGTAAAGGCGAAGTCAGCGACCGCAGCAACAAGAGCGTCAAGGCACAAGACCGGAACAGACGGGTCTGTAACGAGAGAGGCAAGGACCCGAGGAACAAGAGGACGGGTGGCACGAAGGTAGTCAGACAGCGGGGGGGGTGCAACAACAAGGGAGGACGGAAGAGGTGACGGGAGAAGGGGAGGACGAGACGCGTGGGAACGAAGCAACATAGGGTGGGAGCGCAAGACAGGCGAGGTAGGACGAGCACGGGAGGGACGGTGAGACCAGACGTGCGACGGAGGAGTCGGGTCAGGAGACAAGGGAGGGGACACAGGAGGGGAACGAGGAGGAAGATGGGCCGGGGACGAGTCCGGCGGAGGGAACACAGGGCCGTAGACGGGAAGAGGAGGAGACGGTCGGAGAGGAACAGCCGCAGGGTCAGGGGACGGAAGGCCGAGCAGGCGAAGGGCTGACACCGGCAGGGACTGCTGCTACGGCGGCACAACGGCGACACCGGGACTGCAAGTGGCTCCTCGGCTACCACCGGCACACTCCACACCAGCACCCCCAGAGGATCCACCCCCAGGGCTACCGGGACTAGCACCCCCAGAGTCAACGAACGGGTGCTGCGACGGCGGCGGCGGCGGCGGCAGCGACAACGACGGCTGCAGCGGCGGCAGAGGCGGTGGAGGAGGGGACTGGGGAGGGGACGCCGGGGGAGGGGCGGCCGGCAAGGACTGCGCAGCAGGGCCACCAGAGTCAGAAGACTCCTCAATCGGGTCCACCGACGGAAGGGGGGTGACGTGGGACACACCAGAGGGGGCAGGACGGGGAGGAGGAGGGGGAGGGGCAGGGACTATCGGGGAAGGAGTGACCAGGAACAAGGGGGGGGTAACCGGGGGACCGCGGTGGGGGAATTGACGGTAGTAGGAGACGGACTCGTCAAAGGTGACGTCGCGAGAGTGAAAGAAGCGGTGAGACGGCGGGTGGTAAAAGTGCCAGTCGGACGCGTCAAGGGGAAAGCCGAGGAAGACGCAGGGAAGGGTGCGGGCAGTGAGCTTGTCCGTGCCGGAGGCACGGACGTGAGCAAGGCAGCCCCAGACGTGGAACGTAGACGCGTCACCAGGAGACCCAGTCCAAAGACGGGTCGGCGAAACCTGCGGCTGCTGAGGGTGCGGCCACAGGTTAAGCTGGTGAGAAGCGTAGTGCACAGCGAACGGCCACAGAAAATGGGGTGCACCGGCATGGATCATGGAGGTGCGAGCCACCTCCATGACCAAACCGATGCGTCGCTCAGCGACCCCATTCTGCTGTGGGGAGTCCGGTAGGGTGAACGTCTGGGTGATGCCCTCCGCACGACAAAAGCGACCAAGGACACCTGAGGCAAACTCGCCACCACGGTCGGAGTGAAGACGCAAGACAGGGAGACCGCGGTGGACACGCGCAGAGACAAGCCAGGGGATGAGAGCGCCGGGCACGTCGGCCTTGCGCTCCAGGGGAAAGACTGTGGTGTAACGAGTAAAGTCGTCGACAAGCACAAGGAAGTAGCGCTCGCGACGCGGCCCAGGGACGGAGGCGGGGCCCCAGACGTCCAGGTGCAGGGTCTGCAGCGGCGCGGCGGTAGGGGGAAACGAGGAGGAGTGAGGGGCACGGCGAAGCCGACCCTCGACACAAGGCGTGCAAGGTGGGGCTGGGGAGGAGGGAAACGCGGGGAGAGAACCTGGGAGACCAAGGACAAGACCGTGCTGGGACATGTGACGCAGACGCGGGAGCGCAGGGTGACCTAGGCGGTGGTGCCAAAGGAGAGTCGGGTGAGTGAGGGACCGACAGGAGCAGACAGCAGCAACCTGGGTAGACGCAGCCACCTGAGGGAGCGCTCTAGCCGGGGGGGTCACGGTGTCCAGAGTGAACAGGCCGGACACCGGGTCCCGGGGGAACGTGGACAGGGGGGCACCCGTGGCGGCCTCGGTACAGACAGCATACCGCTCGTGACCAGGGAACGTAGTGGTGACGCCAAGGTCCTGGAGGCAGCCGACACCAACTAGGTTCCTGGAGAACGAGGGGATATGCAGACCTGTGAGAGTGCCCGAAGGAACCGCCGGACAGGGAAGGGTGGTGGAACTGCGGGCGACTACTGGACCGCCGGAGGGGTCAGCAAGAGAAACGGCAGCAGGAACAGGAAGCGGCGTCAGTGTGGTGAAGTCGCGGAAGAAACACCGGGAAGCGCCAGAGTCCAAGGTGAAGGAAAGCGAAGCAGAGGCGTCTGGCGACGGAACGACGACGGAAGCACCAAGACTAAACAAAGCAGGGGATCCTACGCCTGACGCAGCAGGGGAGGCTAAGCTAGGCACACCTACACTAGCCGACAGTGAGTAATAAGCGAGAAGCACACTAGAGTCATCAGCATACAGCACATGCAGAGCAGAAACAATGGCATCCATGTCCATGTCAAAAATCTGAATCTTACGACTAAGCAAACTGTGCCAGTCCGGGAGGTCTAGCGACGGGCCGAAGCGCTGACGAAAGAGGTCGTCCAGGCGACGAAAACAGCGGGGAGTGGAGTGACCGATCTTACCGCAAACGAAGCCGCGACGAGGACCGGTCTGGATCTGGTACTGACAATGCACGCCTCCAGAACCACCACTCGGCACACCACCACTCGCCCGACCACCGCCAGCGGC